CCCGGGGGAGGTGTGGGGTGGGGGGGGGGGGTTCCGGCAGCTGCTCGCCTGCATGTGGTGAACCAGCTTGGCAAATGTCCCTTTAACTCATTCCCTTGCAGAATCAGAGGCTTGCGCTGCGGCTGCTGTGGTGGATGGATTGCAAGCAATCTGGGAGCACTTCACCACAGGACAGATGAGTGTGAATTGGCTGGTTCCATTATGTGCCTCGTGAGGGGTTCATGGTGAGGCCCTCCCATGGGGCTGCATTTGCAGACTCTGGCAGGACAAGACATCTATGGCTGATGCTTGGCATAACTCTTGATTGCTGACTTTTGCTTTTATTCAAAGCATTCTTTACTAGAATTTCCCTCAATCTCAGGAAAGACTCCAGTGGGTAATTGACAGATTCCATCCTGAACTCATGTCATTTCATCCCATTCAGTACCAATATTTATATAAATAACATTTCCCCCAAAATGCAGGGTAATCATTTCTTTCCTTTCACGATTGCAGACAAGAAGGAATCTTTGTTCAATAAAAGTATGCTTGTGACTCATTCTCTATTATGCCTGAGATTTGTGCCTTTTGTATGTTCTGTAATCATGAATATTTATAGTGGCTTTTCATAGCACCATGAGCTGCTAACACTTTTGTGCCTTGTCTAAAGTCTAGAGATGTACATTTCTTCCTGGGGAAAATATATGCATGCCTAGGCTTTGTAGAGGCATGGTGAGGTGCAGTATGGATGGCTCCTGCTTCCATGTTGTGCCACAAATGAAGCCAAACCTTAATAATTAGTTATACTAACTGGTCCTTGATTGCAACTCAGCATTATAAAATTTGATAACAGATGTCTATAATGAAGCAGGGATATCATTTGAGGCTCCAAATGAGGTTCATGGCATTAGCCCATACAAGTCTGTGGCAGTATGCAGCAGTAGCAGGTGGGAGCTTAGAGTATACCACCCTTGTTTTTCTATGTGGGAAGCATTCTCCTTGCACCCACATTGGGTGTGTGGAATTTCTCCCTTTGGTGTCCAGATCCTGGGATGGAGTACCTGGAAATGTTCGGAGCACAGCAGTGTTCGGCAATGTTTGTGGTGTTAAGTACCCTTCATGTGCAGTTCCCACTGTCAAAGTGCAGGTTCCATGCTCTAAGTGTGAACAACCTGGGGCAGAGAGAATGGATCCATGCCACAGGAGTGATGCGTGTCCTGGACGGAATTTGCATAGGACTTGGGAGAGCTGCAGTGGGCTGCTATGAAGGGATGTGATAGACTGCTATGGTGGAATATGACTGGATGCTGACTTTGTCATAAACCTAAACTTGGGTTGGTGTGGGAGGTATGAAGAGGTCATTTGTTTTTTTTTGTTTTTTTTTTTTTTTTGGGGGGGGGGTTCCCTTGCAGGGACCTATTCAATTGATCTGACTTACACCACTGTTTTCAGTGGTATAATATTGCATTGGTGTGGGGTGGTGTATCCACAGCTAAAGGTACTTAGACTTCAAATAAGTTCCACACCTCTGGCATCCTATTTTATACCAGCTGCATGGGATAGGTGGCATAGAACCTTTGATGTTTTAGATATCATTAATTATACAGAGTAGGAAAGTACACTTTCAAGCTACAAATGTACAGCTACTATGATTATCTCAGGCACTATGATGGCTTTCAGATGGTCTATTAAGTCAGGGAAAGCTACATGTCTTGTTTGGATCAGCCTTCATATTATTTATATACTAGTACATAGACTGGCAACACTATAAGTACCCTGTGACTTGTGTTTAGAGCAGGTGCGGCCAAACTTGCTTAACATAAGAGCCACATAGAATAAACATCAGAAGTTTGAGAGCCACAAGATATGAACACACGCTTTTATTGCAAAATATGCAAATTTGCATGTTAAATTAAAAAAGACAAATGCCTTCTCGGAGCCAAGCCAGTCTGCTGGTATGGCAAGGCTTGGAGAACACATTTAACTTTAGATGGGGAGCAGGGGAAGAAATATAGAAAGAAAGGTGGAAAGAAAGAAAGTGGAAAGAAAGCCAATAGATGGGGAGGGAGGGGGGGAGGGAGAAGTGGAAAGAAAACAATTTTAACTTTAAATGCGTCCTCCAAGCCTCCCACAATGCTATGCCGCTGGCTTGGCTTGGAGAAGGGATTTAAAGAGAATAATGCTTT